TATATGATATAATGGATGAAGAGGGCTAAACAAAGAACCTCCAGAAGAATGAATGGGATCCAAAATATAAGTAATGAAATTAATTGGAATGAAACTGAAGCAGGAGAATGTGGAAGGAATATTTTAGATATTTGTATGGGAAGGATAGAGATGTGTTGAAGAGTAGAATTAAATGCTGAAAGTGCTCATGTGTTGAAAAAGAAATCATAAATACTGTGAGAATGTTGAGGAATGGTAACAGCAGTTATAGACGGTATGAGTGAAAAATTTTTAAAACAGATGTGGTTTGTTTAATGGAGAGGCTACATAAATTCTTTAACATCTTCATGAAAACTAAATCTGTGCCTGATAATTGAAAGAATACCATTATTATTCCCTATGCACAGGAAAAGAGGAATGTAAAAAATGAAGGGAGATTAATTTGTTGTATGGCCTGGGAAAGTGTAGTCTCATAGAAAGGGTATGCAAAGTGACATTGAATAAAATTTAGGAACTGTAATGTGGTTTTATGCCAGGCAGGAAGCATGCAGATGTCATTTTTGTTCTTTATCAGGTAACTTATGAATTTATGAATGTGAAGAGGGAAGTTTATTGTACATTTGTTGATTTAGAGAAAGTGTATAATATAGTGAGTGGATTTGAATTATGGAATGTTTTACACAAGTATTGAGTTGAAAGCTGGTTGCACAATATAATAAGAGGGTATTATGGTGAGAATTAATTGAATCCTTAATGGATAGTTGAACACCAAACAGGGAGTGAAATAAGAAATTGTGATATACCCTTAGTTATTTAAGTCATGCATGTATATTCATGCATGATAAATGTATAAGGAATCATTGTGATAATGTTAGAAATCTGTTGGTTGGCATGTGAAGGTAAGTTGCTGATATCAGATGATTTGCCAAGAATGTATGACACAAAGAGGAGCATGGTTGTGAAAATTAACATATTGAAGGCCAAGGAAATTGTGTTTTACAGGGAAACTGAGTGAACTATTACAAGTTATAGGAACCAATAAGTGGTGAATTTGTACCTTGGTAGAATGTTTACTGAAGGCAGATGAAGAAATTTTAAGATGTGCAAATGATACTAGAAAGATAGTGGGTGGTATATGTTCTCTTGTAAGGAATCCATGTTTAAAATGGCTGTTTATAAGAGCATACTCCTTCTCACTTTGTTGTATGAAAGTGAGAACTTGGTATATCAGGAGAAACTTAAAAGTAAGTTCAGTGTATCAGAATGGTACATTTAACAAATGTGCATGATATAACAAGGATAGGGTCAAAAATGAATGTGAATTGAATACAAAAGTGAATATCTGGTATGAAGAAAGTATGTTAAGTTTGTTTGCCTGGGTAAGATAATGAAAGAGGATTGTATTACAAAACATGTGAAATAAGAGTGAATGGAGTAAGAGAAAGGGAAAGACTAACCAAGTTGTAGCTGGATAGTTGACGAGATTCTCAAAAAGAAAGATGTGAGAAGTTTGGAGAACAAAAGGCAATGTATGAAGCAGTACATGGATATCGTGGAAACAAGGGTGGGCTGTAAGAATAGAAAAGCATGGAACTGTCTAGCCAATGGTATAAATGTACCTAAATGTAGATTTACCTACATTGGCTTGGCTTGGCTTATCTTGTGTCATTAATGTCTTTGTATGACTAATTATTACATTTTTCTGTAATCTGAATCATATTGCTTATTCCAAAAAGGAATAATGTAAAAGGCCTGTTAAGTATATATGTATGTATGCATTTTTCTATCATCCTGAAACTTCACTAAATCCTCACACTTTCTGACTGAAGAAGCCCAATGGAGAAATTCTTTTCTTGGGGAGCAATGGATCCAGAGAGACAGCATACTACTGGAGAGATTATTTTATCCTAAAAACCATCTCAATTACACATTTTGCTTGACCACCTTGCACCCATGAGAATTTAGTGAAATTTAATCTGTTCAAAAGAGATTAAAAATTTCAAAAGCAAATTTTATTTCCTCATATTGAATCACAACTGGAAGAAAAGCAATGCAGGGTAAATTTTCTGTATGACACTGGTTAAAATATGTTTATATTTTTATGAAGCTAGAACAAAATAAGTAATATGTGGTCATAAAAAAAATACAGAGTCTGAAAAAAATCCATAAATTAATCTGCTTACACTTCAACAGTATTCATACATTGTTCATAATTCACATAATGGGTTTCTGGTTATTTCCTCAACTCAGTAAGTGAAATACTGCTTTTCTTTTTTCTAGTTCTTCAGGAAGAAACATCTATTTTTTGAAGTATGCTGATTAAATGTTCTTCCAATCCTAGAAGCAAAAAAAAAAAAAAGTCAGAATTAGCTCTAGCATGAGTTGCTTCACTTAATGAATTAGAAAGGGGAATTATGAAGAATAAAGTAATTAAAAAATAATCCTCTTGAATATCTCTTTCTTCCATTTTAAATTTCAACAAATGGGATTTACCAAAAGTCGGAAACCTGGAGTTTGTATCATTAAACGGGGCTGCTAAGTCCAATTATACTTACAGGTGGAATGAATATTTACAACAATGCTCAGCTTTAGAAAGTCAGTGAAATGAGAACATAGGAATAAATGTGAAATAGGAAATTTTGTGTTTCCCAAATGTATTCTTCATTGATCCCTTCACCAGGATAGACTGTGAAATGTGATACTGGAAGTACTTTAATAACACTTTTTTTCAGTAACTATGCTGTTTCAAAATCTTTAAGTGGCATAATAACTTTCTATTTCTAAAGATATAAACCTATGCAAAAATGCATATTAATCTCCATTTTTAATGAAATGCTTACAAAATAGTATATTTGCAGGAAAATGTATGTATTTAAATAGAAAGTTTCATAACAGTAAATAGGATGTAGCAAACTTATGATTGGAGTGTCATGGTTTGGAAACAACAGATTTTGCCTTCCTATACTACACTGTCCCTTTATGGGGTGTGCCTCCAAGTCAGTGTTGCTTCCTGGCAACTGCCTGGACAAGTCCCTGTAGTTTTCTTGGCAAGATTTCAGAAGTGGTTTGCCTCCTTCCAAAGTCTGAGAGAGAGTGACTGGTCCAAGGTCACCCAGCTGGCTTCATGCCTAAAATGGGACTAGAACTTACAGTCTCACAGTTTCTAGCCTGATGCTTTAACCACTATACCAAACTGGTTCTCTACACTGTCTCTAGGTTTCCTCAATAATATTTTATTAGATTTGCCTGCAGAGGACAGTGTTATGTCTGTGTCCCAAAATAGCATTTTTCTCTCTGATTTCTTCCCTCAGTCCACTAACATTGATGAAGTGGAATGTAGGCAAAGCTTCATCTTTTACGCTTCTCTTTCCTTGCTACATTCACTTTGCCTTTGTGACATTTGACCCTTATAATACTGCAAAATTATTGTTCTTTTTCTCTCTCTTTTCTTTCTCCTGATACACATTTGTTAGTCAGCACTGTGTAGGCGCATCCCTGGGCGGAGGTGGGGGGGACAGGGAATGGAGTAAAAAATGTCAAGATGGCAATTGCAGCAGTGAGACTGAGCCCCTTTTGTATCTGAATCAACATTGCATTCACATACAAAGGGCTGGGGATTCAAGCACTCTGTCACAACTACCATCTTGACTTTTTTGCCCCCCCATGCCTCCCCCTGCTCCTTGAGGACCTCTCCTCCTGTTTTCTTTTAATGGCCCAACTCAAATTCCTCCTTAGAGAGATGGAGCAATGACAGGGAACAAACATCACATTCCTCCTCCTGGCAAATGATTTTTTGTGACTTGATGTAACTACCTTGGTGGCCATTTTGTGAAGAATCTTTTAACATCCCCCAGTGCTAACAGATTGGGGGTGGGGGGAAGTTTACTGAAACTTGGCCTACAAGGAACCCCCGGCATATCCAACTGAAGTAATTCTGTATTGCTTCCCTTTTTACCTTGCCTCTATTTCCTTTCCCCTTTTTTCATCAAATTTGAAATTGCAAACTCTCTTGAAGAGACATGCTGATAAAGCTATGTAAGTATTACACAGTAACAGGGGTAACATACAGCCTAGAAGAATGTCACAATATAGAGCGAACAAAAATTGGGGAGAAAGCTGTACTTCAGCTCTGCCCATGACAACCAGATTCAGTGAAATGTAGGTCCAGGTGGATTTTTGAAGGTTATAAGTCACTGCCATGTAGCTACTCAGCTCTGCAGTCCATCATATGGAACAGGTAGAGACCCTGCATCTGTTATGTCCTTAGCATAAATATGACACCATCAAACCTCTGTGGTTAAAAAATAAGTAATCCAGCCTGTGTTTTTTGAATTCTGAAACTCTTGCCAGTCTGAATAATGAACTTGTGCCAAATAGTAAAAACAGAATCTGACTGGCTGGAGAAAACAATAAGGTTAGCAACCCGTAAGAGTATTTCTCAAATTACATTGTGTCTTACAAAAAGGGATAGAAAAAACAAATGGCTGAAAAGTATACTTTGGGGACTCTTATTGACCTGGAGGTTGTTTGGGATTTATGGAAGGTTTTGTCCCTTCTAAAGAGCTACCTTATTTTGTCATATCTTGCTAAATTCCAAATATAACATGTCAGGAGTTGAAAATTAATACATCTTTCTCAATGTACATAATTGCAAGCCAATTTTAATAACAAATTCATTTTATGACAAACATTGCAAACCTGCTGCTTACTTTTCAAGCAGCAGGGAAGTTCATGGGGTGATCCTGTTAGCTATTTACTTTTCAATGTGCATGCTCTTATTAGATATTCACTTCATTTTCATTTTGGAAAATGTCTTGAGACAGCATACATTTTGGTGAACCAATTCTCACTGAGCTGTGTTGCCACAGATATAAAAGCTGCCACGTGTGCTTATTTATTAGAGCATAGGATTGCTTGCTGTGCTCATCATATACTCCATATTTCTCTAGAGAATGGTGCTGCATTAATAAAAAGAAAAAGTAATTTTATAATGATAGAACAGAAAACATAGTTGTATTCAGAAATGTCACTGATATTTCGTTTGAGACATTTGTAGCTGACAGCAAAACAACAAAATTAGCTGTTAGTTTTGTAGAAATAAACATAAGAAAGTACAAGCAAATGGGTTACTGAGGGGAAAGAGTAACAAACATGGCAATTGACAATGGTATAATGCAAATCTGTAGAACTTTTGATTTGAGAGTGCTGCCAGCTTGAATGGCCACATTCCAAAATTGGGCCAGATTTTTTTTCCTTTATGGTTTTTATTTTTAAATTTCATCCTATTTTTTAATTTTATTATTGGTAGGTTGTGAATTCCTAATTACCCCTAAAAAAAGGTTCTGCCTAAAAAAAAAGGTTATGTTGGAAGAGCAAGTGGAAGATGGAAATTACCCACTAAGAGGGGTTAAAAGCTCTCTTTTTTTGTATGGGTACAAGGGGCAAAATGGGTTCCTTATGCTTTGCAAAGGCCTAAGGTATCCATTTTCCTCAATGAAACGCTAAAATAGGGAAGGGGGAGAGAAATCACTTAATTTAGGGCAAGCTTTTTAAGGATTGCAGTTTTTATCCTCACTCATTAAAATCTTTCCCCAAACTCCCACACACACAAAAAATAGGGTTCTGGGGACCCAAAACAGATACTAATAGAATGAGGCCAAGTAACCATACTTTTGTGATGCTATACCATTTTACTGTACATTGATTTATTCTGTGATGTCACATGAATCTAATTGGATGCTTATCTGTACCTGGTCATGTGAATTTATTTGTGCAGGGGCATCACAAGGAAACCAAAACTATAGATTATCCAGCTTTTTGCTAGTACAAAAACAATATTAATATGATATGAATACTCAAATTTGCAGACTGAGTACAAAATCATTTTTTATATTATTTGACATCTTGAAGGGCAAATGTTAAGCTTAATTTTCTGTGAAAGCCAAGGATCAGATCCTAATTTTTAAATCCATATTTGAAGATGTGCAAAAGAATTAAATGAACTCTAGGGTTTCAATAAATGAAAGATGGCTATTTATTTAAAAGCCCATACATTCTGATATTGCCCCCTTTGTACCTGAACTTGATTACAAGATCTCAAAACAACAACATCTACCACAACAATAAGCAGAGGACCTAAAAGGGGTAGATATGATAGAGCCAAGAACATCTCATCTGCATCCCAGCCAGATCAGAAAAATACCACAATGCTAGCTCAAAGTTGGGCCAGGTTTCCAACCAAAAAAACTCAGCCACTTCTTGATTTCTCTACCACTCTTCTCCCAAAGAAGCAGATAATTTGTTATGCTCTGCTGCTTTCCAGTTAGTCAATTACAATGCTTCATTTTTTTTTTCTGCCTGCAGTCAGCATTCTGTGCCTACTGAGCATATTATTATGGTACTTTGGGTCCCATTTCAAATTCTTCTACAAACTGTGAGGATTTCTGCAAACTGTAGTTGGTCTTCTTCTGTTATGTATGGATGATGCTCTTTTGACTGTTAAGGATATGCCTGCAGAGAATGAGTTCACTGTTATGATAATAGATTACATTATATCTATATACAACATCGTAATACCAGCTAATCAGTCTTAGAGTTCTAAAAATGGATTATAGCTTTTGATAAGTGGATTCTTCCTAATTTGTTTTAAACTACAAAAATAATTCCCTGAACAGGGAAGTACTTTCTGAACATCAGAGCAAAAACTTGTACCTGCATATAAACAGAATGGCACATCAAGTTTTCTGATGAAATGAACATTTTACAATTCCCAGAAAATGATTGTTATTATGCTTTTTGTTTTTCCTCTATTGTTTCATATTTTATCTGACAGCTTTCAGGTTTTGAAAATGTTTCCTTTGCCAAGATGAACAGGGATGACTTCATGAATTTTATTAACACATACTATGAGTACTTGACCTTTGAACATTTGAAGATGTTATTCTGTCTTATTTCCTTAGGTAATTATGGGCACAACTATCCTATACACATAGTTGTTCATCCTGAATCTTACGGAATATGCTTGAGAAAACCCAGTTGAAGTTCACTAGACTGAGC